CCTTGCGTTTCCAGGATAAACTGAGAGGGATCTCGGAGCAGCATGAGGCCCCAGAGGTTCAGGGTCATGGCCCACTGGTGTGTGGACACGCCCTGGCCCTGTACCAAGTCCTGCCCCTAAGCCCCCTGGGTTTAATGGGAGGCTCGGGGAAGGTGGGCCTTGCCAGTCCTCCTCCCCCCAGATATAACCAATCGGCAGTGCTCGTAAATGGAAAGGCTCGGAGGAGGGGAAAAGTCCCTCCCACCTAGCAAGTGAGGCGGACTGTGGGCCCTGCTGGGAGGGCGACTGCTGGAGTGCAGGCTGGGAACGGGAACTACTGCGCTCTGGTGGCCGCCAGCCCAGAGTGAAGCTTGTGGGGGAAAGCCCGCGGGAACCCCACAGGTGGATGATGGGGTACGCAGGCCGCCACCCCCTTTTATATGGGGCAGCGTCGGTGGGGGTGGCTGAGGTGGCATCTACCCGGAGTGACTGCCAGAGGCTGAACCTCAAGCGAGAAGTCAGGGTGGGAGCTTGGAAAGTCCGTTCTTTGCGTCAGGATGATCAGTTGCCTCTACTGTCGAGGGAACTGGGGAGGCTGAGAGTTGAGGTGGCTGCTCTCTCAGAGGTGAGGAGGCCTGGCAGCGGCATGACCAGTGTAGGTGGCTACACCTACTACTGGTCAGGCCGCAGCGATGGTCCCCATCTCCAGCAGACTCCATCCTTCGGTAGTAGAGGTTACTCCTGTTGATGAGAGTAAAATGGTATTGAGATTGAAGCTATTTTTTGGCTTCATGTCTCTTATTACTGTGTACGTTCCTACTGATGTTAGTATACTTGACATGAAAGAGTTGTTCTACAGCAAACTCACCTCTGTGGTAGACAGATGTCCCCAGCAAGATATTCGCATTGTTCTGGGTGACTTCAATGCAGTATCTGGCTGTGATCGAGCTGGCTATGAGATGTCTGTCGGTCCCCATGGTTCAGGAGCTAATGCCGATAGTGAGAATAGCCTCCTTTTCCGGGACCTTGCTAGGTCCCAGAAATTGAGGATTTCTGGCTTCTAGTACCAGCGCCCAGACCCACATCGCTGGACATGGTGCAGCGATGTGGGTAATGCAGCCAAGGAGATCCACCACATACTCGTTAGCACTCGTTGGAGGATCCTTCAGAATTGCAGGGTGTACAGGAGTGCTGAGTTCTGTGGTACTGACCATAAATTGGTTGTGGCTACCCTCCGGGTCCACTTCAAAACTCCCCAGCGGTCAAATGATCACCCTTGGGTGTTTCATTTGGACAGGCTGAGGGAGGGGGAGTGTGCCCACGGGTTTGCTGAGGCAATCTCTGATCGTTTCACAATACTCGACAGTCTGACAGACCCTGTTTTTCTGTGGGATACCTTCAAGTGTGAAACGCTTGATGCAGCTCAAGATACGATTGGTGTACGACCAAGAGCAGTACAGAATTCCATCTCGCAGGAGACACTGGAAGCCACAGATGCATGTCGTATGGCTCGTCTGACAGGGGATCGGGAATTGCACCATTCTCATGTGCGCAGAACTCGGTCTCTGTTAAGAAGGGACAAGGAACAGTTTATTAGGAGTCTTGCAGAGGAGGTTGAAGGCCATTTCTTACTAAATGACCTTCGTCCTGCATACCAAGCCCTGATAAAGCTGAACTCCAAGCCCTCTTCACAGGTGACAGCAGTTTGCTCAGTAAGTGGTCAGATCGTTTCAGATCCTGTTGAGGTGTGGGAACGTTGGGCTGAGAATTTTGAGCAGTTGTGCCAGGTTGACCCACCAACAGTTGACCTGGATGCGGGTAGTGTCGAGATCCCATTGCCATATCCACCCATCAGTGAGGACCCTCCCTTCCTAACTGAAGTCAGGGGGGCGATCTCCAAGCTAAAGAGTGGTAAAACAGCAGGTATCTGCGTCATACCAGCTGAACTGTTAAAGGCTGGTGGTGAACCTATGGTGCGGGGGTTACATGCTGTCCTGGCTGCCATCTGGCAGTCCGTTACCATTCCTCCTGACCTGTTGAGGGGTGTGGTCATCCCTCTCTGGAAGGGAAAGGGGGACTGTTGGAACTGCAGCAATCACCGAGGCATCAGACTGCTCAGTATACCAGGCAAGGTTCTCACCCACATCCTTCTGAGACGTATCAGAGACCATCTACTGAGGCACCAGAGACTGGAGCAATCCGGATTCACTCCTGGTAAGTCCACAATAGACCGTATCCTTGCGCTTTGAGTCACTGTAGAGCGCCGTCGTGAGTTCGGGCGTGGGCTGCTTGCAGCCTACATCGACCTCAAGAAGGCGTTCGATACGGTGCATCGGGAGTCACTTTGGGAGATCCTGAGGCTGAGAGGAATTCCAACAAGGATTATTGGACTAATAGCAAACCTGTATACTGGTACTGAAAGTGCTGTAAAGTGTGGTGGGGGCCTGTCGAGCTTCTTTCCTGTTAGTTCAGGAGTGAGGCAAGGCTGTGTCCAATTCTTTTCAACACTTGCATGGACTGG